CCGCTCTGAGCCGTTGCGTCGTCAAGGGATCTCTGACGCATTTGTTTACCTGCCAAGAGGTCTACGGCTTTATGACCATCCAAGGCCGTTCGGTGAAATCGCAGGGCATACTGGAAGGGATAAGGGCGGTTATGGTCTTGGGAAATCGGGCGTCGAGCCTCACTCTAGTTCGACACTCGGATCCGGAAGCATCTTCGGCCGAGTGATTCCGGTATCCGACGAGTCGTCTCAGTTAGAAACTATATTCCATATTATACGAAATCGTGTGTGCTCGAGCCTAGCGCGATTCAAGGCGACGGCCTTAAGCGTGATCGCGCGTCCGTCCGACTACGCGTGGCTCGCGACGACATCACCCGAAGCGTCGCCTGTTAGATAGGCATAGGGTATTCGTCGCAAGGCGTTGCCACGAAATCGGAAGCAGGATACAAACCTGCAAGCGTCAAATACGATCGCCGAGGAACGCGAGGCGAAACATCGCGCAGTATCATTATATATCGTCACCTCCGAGTGTATGTCCGACAATCTTTAAAATTAAACAATATAAATATTCGTGTCTTGTATTAATAAACTAGCTCCCTAAACGAAACCACAGTGTAGATATTAATGTTATCTGCCTGACCACAAAACAGTTTTAGTTGCAAGCAATCTTCCTTTTTTCTTACTTTTGTAAAAAGAAGTCTCAACGGATTTATATAGACATTTTCTACGAGAATTCCGTTAAGATTTCCGTTAAGATAATAGAATCCGCATATGTACACCATATGGAAAGTCATTACCCGGCTATTGTTAAGCTACCGGCATAGATTTTCCCTTTGGTCCTACAAGAAGAGTTAACAACCAACAGGAAACAGAAATTCATATTACATCATACCTTTAAAACCTTCTAGAAGCTTTACTTATCATACGGCAAGAATTTCGTGCGGGCCGTGTGCCGAAAAGTTTATGTTACGCGACACCACTTAACCGTCTCCCGGCGAGAGATAAGCGCTCTGCGCTTCCCTTGCGAGTCTTTTACTGAGATCAAAAAATTAACGCATTGAATTAAAATATATTACTAGATCGAATTAATATTGGTTAAATTCCCTTTTCTTTAATAAAAACTTATATAATTACGTGTCAAATGACACCCCATAATTTTACATTTTAATATTCGAATTTATAAACCCATTTAAATATTTTAATATAAAACAAGAATGAATTTCTGGACTCTCAATAATGCGAGTTATAGTATTTAGTAATTATGAATAAGAGAAGAAAGGAATATAAGTATGAGATTGCAATTATTAGTAAAAGTCAATTAAGCGTACGGAAAATGTATTAACACTTCCATTTTCTTAAATAATTCTCAAAATTCCACGTATACTTGAATAATATATTTTACATGATTATAAAAATGATCTTTTGTATTATAATTATAAATTTCTTTGTTAAATTATATTCTCGCATATAAAAGCGAGTAATCTCATAGCGTAACGCTCAATTGACATGCGCAGAAAACATTCTATTGTCTCGCGGCAGCGGCCGCGCGCCGAGCCGAAATGCAGGTAGGCGACCAAGCGGGCCGCGCAGTTGAAAAAGATCCTTTACCAAGTACGGACGTTTTAAGCAGTTGAAAGGAGTCACTCGTGCAGTCCAGACGTCTTCTCGAGAATTCTAAGTCTTGCCAAATCATTACTAGTTCTTCGCCGAATCATTCTCGAACACGCTCTGCTCTGCCGAAGCCTGCCATACATTGCAATATCATACTATTTCCACCAAACACGCTGAGTCTTCATATTATTAAGGTAATCTTAATCAATTTACTTATTTCTTTGCTAAAATTCTAGAATGTAAAGAGAATAATTAATTACTTATTTTAAAATTCACTACACTATAACTTTCGTTGATAATTTCGCATTGTCTATCCAACCATTATATAAATATACGCATATATTCACATATTTTACAAAGCTTATACGATTTTATAATCATTTGAAGTATTACAAATTTACTATCAAGTTGTCTCGTTACAATATATATATATAATTGTGTATTCAACTCCCTGTATTCATTTGTCTTATGTATAATTATATCTTGTTCTAGTATATACATATATATATATATACATATTTAGTGATATTATTCATCATTTCCTACTTCCTCGTTATCATTATTGATAATTGATATTTTACCTACTTATTTCTTATTTCACTGTGTCACATTGCGAACTATTTATCTTGAAATATTACTATTGATTATCATTGTTGATGATTGCACTGTTTTGTTACTATAATACTATATCACTGTAATTTAGCATGTCATTATAATATTCATAACTACCCAAGTAATAT